CCTTAATCCACAATGAAGTCCATGCTTCTGGTAGCCACCTCGCATTCCAAGGCTAGTGATGGATAAATATCACTTTTTTAAGTGACAGGGGTCATGCTCACTTTTTCTCCCAGATATTGCAAAGTATTAAATTGATTATTAAAATTACAGGTTAATTAAGTGGATGGTGCCTCAAGTGCCCAACAATACTATGATCAGAGAAAACTTTTTTTTTTCTTTTAATTTAACTAAGTTTCCCAATAAAAAAAAAAGTCAGCTGCCTTTTAGCAGTCAGAAGGCACAGTGCTTTATTTGACTCGGTGTTCTCATCCGGGCACGTCCTAAGGTTCGCTTAATAAATACGTTCGGCGCATGTGTGCTTCCTGCTAACACAGACGCCCCTTAAACATGCATGTTTACTCCACCAGCATGGAACATTTGGCTTATTATAGCTGCGGCCTTTCGGAAAAAAAAAAAAAAAAAAAAAAGAGGCAGCATCATGATTTCCAAAAAGGGAGTGACATTTGGGCCAGCTCTTGTCATGCGCCATCTCCAACTTAGAAAATCCACCCAGGACAGCCTGGCCCGCGTCAGGGACCCTTGCAGGCGGCTGCCCCGGCTGCTACTGACGCGCTTTTGATCTTTTCTGGGCGCTCGGAGGCTCGCCACACCCCTGCCCCGGCGCGCACGTCCCTCGCCCGGTCTCGCCCAGCGCGAGCCAGACCTTTTACTTTATTTGGTTCACCACGCGGTCCCGGGTCCGGGGCGCGCACAGAGCGGGCCCTCGCCTCGCGCGCGCGCACAGGCACGCCTCCCCCGGACCGCGGGCGGAGGTCGCGGGGGAGGTGGCTCGGCCCCTGGGCCGCTGTCCCCGCTAATTATAGTGCAGCAGCTGGCGCGCGGGCCCGGCCTGGCGCGGGCGGACAGGACGCGGTGGTGGGCTGCCAGGCCGGGCCGGGCCGGGCCGGGCAGGGGCGGAGCGGGGTGCGCGCGCGCGCGGGGCCGTTTCCCATTTCCGGGCCCGCGCGCCCCGCCCCGGCCCGCCGCCCTGCCCAGGGTCGCGCGGCTCCACGTGCGCCAGGACGCGACAGGGAGTCGGCGCAGCCCCGGGCCGCGGAAAAGTTCTGGACTAAAGGGCCGCGGGCGCGGCGCGAGGCCGAGGGCCCGCCCTGGAAGCCGCAGCGTGGGCCCCGCGTGGACCAGTCGCAGGCGGCTGCGGAGCGACGGCGCCTCCTGCCCTTTCCTTCCCCTGCTGTAAACAGGGCTTGGCAGAGCTGGAGGCTTTCTTGCTTTTAAGAAACGACGACTCACAGCGTGGGGCGGGGGGAGTGCGAGCGGGACTTGCCAGGCTCACCGAGCCTCGGTGTTTGGGCTGTCCCTCGTGGAGACAGCGTGGTGGCTGATGGTGACAGCTGCACGCCGGGCCTGGCGGCCTCCGCACAGGGGCTGTGCTCCTGTGTCAGCATCGCGCAGGTCTAAGTTCTAGGAAGAGATTCGGTTCTCCCAAGTACGAATTAGCCTTGATTATACTCCCCAGACTCCTGGAAGGAAACCAAGGCGCTGTTAACTCTTGTCAATACTTGCTCAGCGAGGCAGACACCATTCCCAGAGCCCGGGACTCCGAGCTGTCCAACCCCTGCCACGAGGCGCCTGCCTGGAAAGGTGTTAAATAATCACAGCGAGGACCCAGATGCTGCGTATTAAGATCATAGTCTTCCCAAACTTGCCTAATGACTGTGACCCTCCTGTGAAATTCTGATTTCAGTCGTATGTGAGGGTACAATCAATCTATCTTTTATCACCAGAAAAGCTAATTGGCTCGCTGGTTGCAGGCGGAAATAACAAAAAGGGCTTTCAGCCTGGGTGTAGCAGCCTTTTCCTGTACTGCAGCTTACAGGCTACGCTGTCAGGCCGGGGAGAACTTGGCTGAGTGTAAAGAAAGTGCCGATTTATTCCGACCTGGATAGCCCCTCCTCCTGCGTATCACGGCTCTGCAGATCTACTAGCAGCAAAACGAAAAAATAATAAGAGAAAAAAAATCATCCCGTAAAGGAAGGTAAAAGCTCAGTAATTCAAGGTTCACTCTCAATAACCTCTTTGCATACGGTAAAGGGCAGCTCTCAGCTCTAATGAAATGCTGTTTCTGGGATTTCTGTTTTTGTTTTGACTTCCGGCAGGCATACATAGCCACATACCGAGTTCAAAATAATCTATCTGAACTGCCACAGGAAAGATATTTTCTAAATAGCAGAGAAATGTGCAGTGACCTGAATATGTAGCTGAAGTTGCTGAGTGCGTACACGACAAAACCTGACTCATGAGTTACGTGTGACGCTTGCTGGGCCCTCACAGGCATCTGAATGTTAATTGGTGGTGATGATATAAATACTTAGAAATACTAATTGCTAAGTAAAAGTGGTAAGTGATGGGATCTAGAGATTATGTAATGTCGTTCATTTTCCCCAAAATGCAAACTCTAGTTAGAAATATTCAAATGTGACTTTATTGCCCCGAACAGGATGTCTTATCTCAGCATCAAGGGTTTCTGCCCAGCTGCTCCAGGCTCTTTAGATTATGCAATCTAACTTCTAAAGCCCATTCAAAGCATGAGCTCAACCAGTGTGCTGATGCTCTCCATTTAAACAAGGACTCCTGTAGTCTAGTCTCCAGACCGCATCTGACCCAGGAGGAAATATGTCCTAAGGCTTCTCATGTGATTTTGTGATAAATTTTGCTTGTACTTCAGATTCGCTATTCCGGTTTTGAGCTAGTGAGTTGTCAAGGGCCATTCTGCCTTTCTGCAAAGAAACTTTTAAACCTGTATCGTAAACTGTTTTATGTCATTCTAGTGGGGCTGTTCTAATAAGGAAATTTTACTATTGTTTTTTAGATTCAATAAAAGAATAGCTTCTAGGATTCAATGTCTAAATGACTCCAAATGATTTGCCTATGGTATACTTTTTGCCCTCCAGTACTTTTTTGGTGGGTTGGTTTTATGTTGCTCAGGGCTATGTAGAAGCCCACGCTATTCTAAGATAAAAGTCAGTGCAAATATAGATGTCTCTCTTAAAGATACAGTTTTTAAAAACAGATTTTAAATTATATAATCTTTTAAAAAGTAAGTTATACTTTGAATTAAATCAAAGGAAAGCTGTTTCAAGTCAAGCATTTTAGCTTGTGTTGACAAGAGGAAGGAATATGCTGATAGATTTTAAGAAGTTCAGTTAAATTAGGTATAAATGAATGTTAATGATAAATAGGAATAGTGTAGATATCCCTGCTTATCGATTTACCTGGAGATTAATAGAGGAATCCACAGATAACCCATAAATCCAGTAATTTTCCATCTTCAGCCTCTTAACAAGTTAATTTACAAATTGTCTACTTTTGTGCCTTTCAATTTGCAATGAGGGGTTCAGAAATATTAGGGAAAATGCAAGCTATCAACAAAAACAGCAATAAGGGGTCTTGATAGGTAGTGGATAATCTGGAAACTAACACCCTTAATTTTAATTTGCACGTGAGAGGCCCAACCAGTGGCACTGAAGGAGTTAAGGCATCCTCCCCCCCATTTCGAGAACCCCAGATGATGAAGTGGGTAAATATGTATTCCATTCATTGGTGCATCTGATCTTGTCTGTGACAGAGGAAAGGCGTGTCTTCTCACACTGTTCCCTACGAACAAAAGGCAAGCAAATGAGGGTGACTCAGGACTTTCAGTGGCCTAACACAACTGAACCATTTTTCTGAATGATTCCACGCATACACTTAGGAATCAGGAAGAGAAACATTTTACTCTTCACTGGCCAAATAAAACCATCTATAAATCATATGCAAAACCACTTTGAGCAAAGAGGGACTTAAAAGTCTAGGAATTAAAAGGCGTTCCATATTTTCCTTTTAACTTTTGCTCCCCTTTGGGGAATAAACAAAGACATCTGCCACATCAAGAGTCTGGTTTGTTTGTTTTTAACTGGGAACTGAATGCAATCATTAAAGTTTATCTTTGGAAAGAGCTTTCGAAATTTTAAAAATTACTTCTGCAAGTTACACTATTTTTAAATTTCATGAAGCTTAAATGTTCAGCTTTAAGTTAGAAAGCTCATTAATAGCTTGTCTTTTAACCTAATTAATAAATGAAAAGTCGTGTTGTATAATCTGTAACTTAGTAAGTATAGTTTCTTGAAAACTGCCTTAAACAGGCTACTGAGAAGACTGTTAAAATATGGTGATGGGCCGCCCATGTTACTGGACCACCCCTAATGAAAATTCAAGCACACACTCAATGTTTAATTTAAAACATACCATAGGTCTATGTATATCCTAGCCTCAAACTCTTTTATAGAAATCTCCCAACTTCCTTTCACAGAGAAGTCTGCCAAGCCATTGATCAATAAAGAGTAAAAGCTGTAGCATCTAGGAAGTTTCTTGCTATATGATAGTAGGCAGTGGTTTTAAAATGTACCTCCGTGCTTTGTATCTTTTCTCTTTGTAAATTTAGGTTTCAGGATATCACTAAAGCTCACACATGGCTTTGGCTCACACATCCTTCCAAAGCTTTCCCAAGTGTAGGCTTTCTCCTCCACTTTTTGTCTCCAGCGCATTTCCTATGGCCCAACACGGCTGTTTTATTCCAAAGCTTTCCAAAGAGCAGCTCCAGGTCTTGACAGTCTTTTCAGCATCGAGGTTACTATCTTCTCCTTCCAATCTACTACTGCAGAATGGCTGGCTCTCCTGCTAGTTGAAAAATAAACAAGTGCTTTCTAGCTGTACTTTGTTCGGCTCTTTTATCTGATCCCCTATCCAGTTGCCCTTTCCCCAGTCCCTAGCACTTTTTTTTCCTACCATCAGTTGCCTTTTTGTTCCATGTCTTTTAGTCTTTTATCTCCTATTCTTTTCCTGCAGGTCCAGTCAAAACCCTACCCCAAACCACACATTCTTTAGTCACATTGCCATTAGTGATTAAAACAAAAGCCATTCTAAGCTTACTCTTAATAGTTAAAAAAAGGCCTCAGAAAATGTTCAGTGCTCCCAATTTTATTTTTATTTAATGCTAAAAGTTAAAGAAAAAAAGGTACTGTAAATCTGACAAATGACAGAATGCAGGTGATATTTCCATAGCGTGATTTTAAAATATAATAATGTTGATATCTGAGATTACACTCACTTCAGTTGACATGAGTTTCATCATATATAGAAAAAGTATCACCTTCAACTTAAAAAAAGTAAAGGTTAAAAGGTGGCACACTTTTAAAATACTTGGTGGCCAAGGAAAGGTATATAGTAAAAGTTGTAAACCATGTATGTGTACGTTTTCATAACTTTAACTGTGAGGCCACATGAAAGACAGTACATCTGTTAAGTTCTATAAATCATTAAAGCAAAAAAGGGAAAGCCTCAACACCCCATCCCCTAATATTCTTGAGTATTAAAAGCACAGCTGAAATACTAGGATCTGAAATCTGATACTGCCCACGTACAGTAAGTAGCTTTCTGACGTTTTCATCCAGCTGTGGAGGATCTCTGCACTGTCATCAGGTACAACAAAAGATCAAACCCATGTCCCAGTGTTAACTTTTTAACGTTAAGAGAACGCCAGAGAACCCAGATCAACGCTTCGCAGCCTCAAGCCTTCCACGAAGGCCACCCGAAGGCCAGTCCCAACTCCTGCAAATCTTATTTTTTAACAGCAGTAACTTTAATAAGCAGCCCTTTGAAGCGGTGCATATTCTCCACCTACAACAACAGCACAGAGAAACACAGGCGTCCTTTTCCACAGCTGGAAGACTTATCCGTAACAAGCAGGAGGGTTCTTTATTGATCTTTTGGGAAAGCTTATCTGTATTAAGATTGCAAAACATACAGACAGCTACCACAAATTAGGTCAAATGACTGATCAAGTCGTAACATCTATGAGGTCAAATTCCAGTTTATAATAAAGTGCCTAGATACACACTTACACAACAGACCATGACAGTTGAATTCTTTACAAATGTCTTTACGGGTATGTAAAACTGACTCTGTGTTTTTGCATGTGTGTATTCACATAAAAGAGACCAGTCTGATCTGAATCATATATACTCCAATTTTAAAAACAGAAGGTGTAACAACAAACTGGCTACTCATGCAAGTCTGTCTGTTAATATAACAATGACCGGTAACATGAATTTGCACGGCATCAATAGGTGCACTCATTAAAAACACTACGAGAAAATACTGTATTTGGTGCAGTATCTGATTTGCAAGTGTTAGTAACTTGACCATTAAAAAATATTTTAGCAAATTAAAAAAAAAAGATAAACATGTAACTAAAAAAGAACTCAAGGTTTGTAATAATAACCTGTTTTCAACTTGAAACAGAAGTTAGTCTCTGAATGATACACATAAACTGTAGTAGACCTAGAAACCATGATCCAGCCTAATTAGAAGGCCAAGTTACAAACACCTGAACCTAAGGATTTAAGTGTTCCTGTCAATGTTAAATCATAACAGCACAAAAGAAAAACCAGTATCACTGTGAGACAACTATTTCTAGTAACTGATGATTTATTGGTTTAAAAAATCATTTTACTGATGCAAAATAGTGATCAAAAGAAATTAGTTTACAAAAGGCTTCTAAAAATAGTTTGAGAGGTGGGGCCTGTCTATTATGTAAAAACCCTTAATTTCTTTCATTTTCACTAGTTTATCACTTTTTCCCCCAGAACAGTATTATTCAGTTGATATTTCAAATACATGTAAGAAGGAAATTACAGGCTTCCTCCACCCACATTCGGGCTGTCACTGATATGCCCACGGGCAGTCCTGGCAGCACCACGGCGGCTGTTACTGTCATTGTACCATACTGTATTTAGCACTCACTAGAAACAGGGTGTAGGTGATAGTATCAACAGCAATAGCACTACAGGTAAATGATAAAAAAACAAAACAAAACACAAAACAGAAACAAAACCAATCCCACAATCTCCAAGTTCACCTGGACTGTAACTTCTCTCAGGACTCCTTCAAAGGAAACAACAGCAACAACAAACAGAGCTCTAGGGTGTTTAGAGATGAAGTGGCGCTGCAGAGCCAGGCTCTGCTCAAAGATGGCAGTGCCATCTTGTGCACACCACCATCCATTCTAACCGCCTCCCATCACTGGAACTGTGTATTATGTAACCAACTAGCATGCAGCATTGTAATCTTACAACTGATCACGTGGACAGTGAACAGCGGTCAACTTTGCCTTAAAAAAAAAAAAAAAAAAAAAAAAAAAAAAACTACCCCTCACCCCCAAAAGCCACACAATCCTAAAAATCTCTCAGCAACACCTCTCAGACTGTCATCGATATCCCAAGAACTGAACTTTAAGAACAAAACAGAGAGATTAAAAATCCATTTGCCTATTCCTCTGAGAGGACGACGTTTTGGGGTAACCTGGTGATGTTTCCAGTGGCATGCCCACTTGCCAACAGTGCCCCTTTCATCACTCATCTCCTTTCCTTCTCCACCAACTGGCCTCCGGCCTGAGAAGGGGGCCAGCAATAAGGAATAACAGACAGTAAGGCAATCTTACAATGTCAGAAAATGTATTTGGCTTTTTTTTTTCTTTTTAAAATAAGTGCATACAAATACAGCTAGAAGCATTTCTGATTTGCCAAGTGCTCTAAAAAAGCAGCGCGCAAGTCACAGCCTATAGAACGGTAACTGTCACCAGGATAATAAAGCACAAAGATATGCTAATAACGTTAACAAAAGAAGAAAATGCCTTTATAAGTACATACCTTTTGTCGTCAAAAAAATATAGAAACACAATGTATTCAAAAAAATCAAAATTATACAGCCATGTTTATGAAGTCTACATTTCCCTTGTCTTGGATATATATATATATGGAGATATATATACAATTCAAGCAGTTTTAGTTAAGGATAATCATTGGGTTTTTCTGAAACCGAAAAGTCACGAGTCTCTCTCTTTTTTCACTTTCACATCTCCAGCAAGGATGGTTGCAATTTCCCCCTGCATAAAGGCCCAGGGGACATTGGAGCCCACAAGAGGGCATTTTTCCCCACTGGGACAATAGACCTCTCCACTAGCTCCCTGCTGTTTGATGCTTTGTCTGGAGCAAGGGAAGCAGAACTTGTGCGAAGGGACGGACGGGCACTGCACAAAGTGGGTGTCCTCCAGCCGCTCGTGGCAGAGGGTACAGCACAGCGGGGCACTGGCTGCCAAAGAGGAGTCCGGGAGGCTGGCAGGGTGCACTGGCTCCAGTCCTCCTGTGCTGCCTGCCCCCTGGCCCCCCACCTCTCTGGGGCCCAGCCTTCTTTGGTTCATAGAGGACGGAGAAGGTGGACTGCTGCTATTCCTCCTGGTAGTGGAGTGAACCTGGTTGGCATCTTTCGAGGCATGACTGCCCCCTGCATTGTCTGCTACTAAGATTAGGGCTGCCATCGGGGACTGGCCATTCTGTGCCGCTTCAGGCGGTGTGGTCCGGTTGGAATGAGGTGAGGCAGTGGGTGGTGGTGGAGACACAAAAGAGGACGTGGGAGTCATGGGGATCTTGAGCCCTTCGGTGGACGTGGACAGCCATGGCTGGGCCTCTCCATTGATCTTAGGGGGCCCGACTTCACCTTCTGGCTCTGGAGAGGGCTTCCTTTTCCTTGCTGTTCTTGCAACTGGAAAAAAATTAGGAAATAAAAGGAAAAAAGGGGGAATAAATAAAAGTTGCACTGGAAAGCACTTTTACTAAAAACCAAACAAAAAACTCCTTACTGAATTCCTACTCTGAAAACCACACAGACAAAACACCCGTTCCCAGTGGCTGCATGCAGCTTAATCATCTAAACTTAGGGGGCTCTGAGGCAGGACACCGATGGAAAAAAAGGCAAGGAAGCCCCAGAAAAAGGCTCGAATACGACAGGGTCTGTTTCACACATGCATGCGTGTACCCCATCTGAACCGTGCATGTGATTGTTAAAAAGTCCCCCGACAGGCTAAAAGGTGACTGGTGCCCTCATGCTCCCATCCAAGAATGTGCTGGGAAAGGAAAAGCCTGTGTCAGTGCCTATCAGCCCCGTCTGACTCATCTCTGTTATGCTGCTTCAGCACATGAACACGTTGCCACTAAGCACTGGTTCCGCCTCAGGCACATCAGGAAGTTGGGTGTTTGTTGTTTCTGGGCTGGGGTAGCACGATGAATGGGAAGCAACCACCCCTCCTCCTCTGCTCTCCAACCCTCTCCCCTAAGCCCCCTCGCTCCACAGCCGCCCCTACCTGCTTTAGACCCGTTGGCCCCGTTGGCCTCGAAACCCAACAACCTGCCTGCAGTCAGGGCCGGCTCCTTCTTAAACTTGCTCTCGAAGGGCCCCGAGTGGCCGTGCTGGTGCAGCGCCAGCAGCGTGTCGCGCACGGTTTTGGGCCTGTTGACCCAGTCCTGCTCTCCGGGCCCGCGGCCCTTGCCTGCGCCCTCGGCGCCCAGCTCGGCGGCCCCGGGCGCGGTGGACAAGCTGTCGGCCGGGCCCCGGTGCGCGGGCGGTGGCGGCGGCGGCTGCTGCTTCTCCTTGGCTGCCGCCTCCCGCTGCTCGTGGTCCACGGCTGCGCTGCTCGACACAGAGGCCGGCCTCTTGTGGGCGCCCAGCTCCGCGGGCTGCGCTGAGCCCAGGCCAGCGGCGGCCGCGGCTCCAGACACGGCGGCCAGGGAGGCGGCGGCGCGGCCGCTGAGGCCGAGCGCGGCGGGCAGCGGCGTGGCGGAGCCGTTCATAAGCGGCACCAGGGTGGGCGGCACGGTGTGGCCGCGTCGCGCGTTCGGGCTCTGGCGGTTCAGCTCGGGCGGCTCCTCCAGCTTGGAGAAGCCGTTGGGCACCAGGATGCCGTTCACAGGCGGCGGCTGCGGCGTCGGAGGCTGGGCCAGGCCCGCAGCCGGGCGGCTGCCGCCGAAGTCGGAGCCGAGGCGCGGAGGTCGCTCCGCCGCGGCCGCCAGAGGGTAGCGCTCCAGGGCCTGCGCTGCGCGAGGGGCCGCCTCGGGGCCGCCGTGGCCGAGCTGCTGCTGCTGCTGCTGCAGGAGGATGTCCTTGGCCGAGAGCGGCGGCGGCTTGGCGGCGGCCGGGGCCGCGGCGCCGGGCGGGGAGCGGCCCTCCGGGAAGCAGCCGTGCGCCCGCTTGAGCTGCCGCGCCGTCTCGATGACGAACTCGACGCGGTCGGCGCCCTCGTAGTTGACGCAGCCGCGGCACACGGGCTCGGTGAAGTCCCAGATCATGGCCCAGGGCATGCGGGGCAGGTCACACAGGTAGCACGACTGCCGCCGGGACGCGGCCGCCACCGCCACCGCCGCGGCCATGTCCGAGGAGCCCGCGGCGCCGGGGGAGGAGGAGGAGGTGGAGGTGGAGGAGGAGGAGGAGGGGGCCCCGCCGCCCCCCGCCGGCACCGCGCGAGCCCTCCTCCCCCCCCAACCCCGCGTCTCCCCCACCAGTGGCGGCGGCGGCCGCAGAGGCGGCGGCGGCGGCGGCAAAGCCCGCGAAGGCTCGGCGCCCGCGCAGCGCCCCCGGTGCACGAGGGGCGGCGGGCGCGGCGCGAGGGGCTGCAGCCGCGGCAGCAGGTCCCCCCGGCCGGCGCGGTGGCGGGCGCGGGCGGGCGGCGCGGCGGGGCGGCGCGGCGGGGGCTCGGCCGGGGCCGCGGCGGGCCTCCAGACCGGGGCGAAGACGGGCCGCGCGGACGCGGGGAAGCGCAGCAGGTCGCGGCGGCGGCGGTGGCCGGCACGGAGTGCGGGGCGGGGGGCGGGGAGGACGCGGGGGGGGCGGGGGCCGGGGCCGGGGGGCGGCCGCCGGAGCAGGCTCAGCCCGAGCGGCGGGGCATGCCGCGCCGAGGCGGCGGCGGTGGCCGAGCGGCGTGAAGCTCGGGCGCGGCGCGGGCCCCGGGTCGCTCTGCCGCTCTCTCACAGCTCCTGGCGTCGCTGCTCTCCAGCGCCCGCGTCAGCGCCTAGCCCGCCTCAGCTCCGCCGCCTAGGTTGTCGCTGCTGCTGCTCGCCGCGGCCGCTCCACTTCTACAGACTTGATTCTTCGACAGCCTCGCACGGCGCCTGCGCGGGCCCCCTCCCCGGGGGGGGGGGGCCGGCTTTCTGGGGGGGACGGGGCCCGGGGTTTTCCTCGCCGCCCCCCCCCCCCCCGCCCCGCGCGCAGGGACGCGGCCGGGAGAGCCGGCTCCGCGGGTCCGCGCCGCCTCCAGTGAGCGGCCGGCGTCCCTGACGTGAGCACGCTGCTCCATGGGGATGTTTGCCCTGTTTCCTCGGCTCTACAGACTCCTCAGTCGGGATTTGGTTTCCCTGTGCTTGTCCTTTCTGTCGAGTCGAGCTAAAACTAATAAATAATAATAATAATAAAGGCAAGGCCACTTTGTAACTTGGTTTCTGTCAGACGCTTGATGGAGAGTTTAGGTCTGGCGTGCTTCACAGTTTTGGGTTTTTGAGGAGTTGAAAGCCAAATGTTGGACACGTGAGCACAGAATCGCTCAGGAATGCTTTGCACTTGCATTTGCCCTAGGACGGACACGCGCGCCGCCAGGCCCTTTAGGTTTCACAAACTCAGGAGAGTCTGCTGTTCCCAAGCACAGCACGGTGTCGTCATGCCGCCAGCTGGCTCGCGCGCTTTCCACGGAGCCCTCCGTAAGGAAAGGGAGCGCGGTCCAGACCGGGAGCTCGAGAACACCAAGACCTCCCGTCGGCCCGCCCTCTGAGCGGAGCCCTGGCCGCGCCCGCCGCCCCGGCCGCCTTATGTAGGTCCGCGCGGCGAGCGCGTGACGTGGGCGCAGGGCTGCGGGCCGCAGGCCCCCGCCGCCGCCAGTGCGCACGCTCCGCGCGAACGTGCCTCGCCGCCGCTGGCACGGGGGCCTCATTGAACGAATGCACATTCCAGGGATCCGGGGTCTACGGCCAGCGAGGCGCGGCGCGTCACGTCACGGCGCAGGCTCCGCCCCCGGCAGGCCCTCGGGGCCTCCGGCCCCGCCCCCCCGGGCCCGAACTTGGACTCGAGGTGGCGGGTGGCGCTGGCGCGGTCGGGGCGCGCGGCCTGCTCGCCTCGATGGGTCCCCGCGGGCGCTGGGGGCGACCGGCTGGCTGGCTCGGTCGCGGCCGTGGCGCAGGGCGGGCCTCGGGAGGGGGCGGCCCTGCGCCCTCTGCGCCACCCAGTCCGGCCCTAACCGTGGTGGGTGCAGACCTGCCTGGCGGGAAGACGGGGTGCGGCCCCAAAGCCCTGCCGGTCGGGCCCGCGCCTGTCTTACGCCGTGGGCAGCCAGACTGCCCCTATTGAATGAGCGCGTGAGGTTCCCACTTTTATCGGGAGGAGGAGCTGGTGTGTGTTGTGGTAAATCTCTGGGTTGGTCGTTGGTCCTGCTGAGGCGCGGGCTTGGGCGCTGTCGGCTGGGACTTTGACGTTGCTGCTTTGTCAGAGCGGTCTCTGGAGCTGCTTTGGCTAGCAGCAGCACAGGCCCGCATCTCTCCCTGAGACTGGAGTGAGCTGGTCAAGTGTGGGAAGAACAGGGTACTAATTATATTATCATCCTTACAACTGGATTGGTAGGTGGAGAGGGAGGGAAAAAATCCTGCTGACGTTTCCTTAGTTGTTGCTGTTGAAAATGCCAGGTTCTTTCAAAGAATTAAAGGAAGAGGGAAAAGCACTCATAGACAACGGAGGGAGCTGCTTAGAACACAGGAAAGTTGTTTGAAAATGGCGCAGAAAACATGCTGCCACGTCTAGATGTTTGGAGAGGCTAACCCTGACTGTCTTCCCTCGGGGATTTCCAGAGGCGTGTCTGCTCCGAGGGTCTCCCCGTCCCTTTCCAGGTCTTACCTGGCACTTGCCATCCTGCTGGGGAGGACGGGCCTGCCGGGATCCCTCCCAGGAGCAGCTGAGGCCGCTGCAATGGAGCACCTCCTGCTGGTCACGCTGCTTAGCGACCCTGTGCCACCCACCGGGGATGAAGCCTGGTGTTTGTGCTGCAGGCCTGAGCCTCCTCAGGGCCCTCAAAAGATGGTTCGGGAAGCACCGCTGGGAACGTAGTGGGCAGCCGCAAAAAGTCAATGGGAAAACGGGGTTACAAGATAAGTTTGAGTGTGAAAGAACTTGAAGTTCGTGCGTAGATGTCATAATACACGTTTTCCGTGAGCGTTTGGAGAACCCCATGCATTCAATGGAAACAACTTGCCATTAGGACGGTGGCTTAATTATACTCATTTACCTGCCAGCGCTCCCTGCTCATTGTAATGCCCTCCAGAGAGCGCCTGCCACTCCACCCCAGAATAGAATCCCCGGAGAGCTCCGAAGTCAGGACCTTTGTAGGACAGAGCTCCTGCTCTCCAAAGGAAGAGAATTTCCTTTTGAATGCACCCCGCCAGCTTACTGTTGAAACTGGGTTGTGGTAACTTCCCTCCTGCAACGCCTGTTGGAAAGTGGAAGGGCGGTTTTATTTCTGGGCTTGAGCCTGCCCTTGAAGGATCCGGGATCAAGGGGGTTAAGGCTGGACCTGGATCCGGGGCAGCAATTCCTTATATTGTATCAAAAGTCTTTCATGCTGCCTGGCCTTTCCTGTAGCTCTGAAGCAGCTTTATGGATGTATGCTAAGTAAACATAGCTTTGTTTTTGTCTTCTACCCACCGCCCTCCCTCCCTCCCTCCCTCCCGGCGAAGACTAGAGTTGGATCCCATCCAAAGCGGCTGCTGCAGCAGTTACAGCCGCCTCCTCCACACACAGGAGCAGGGTTTCTAGGGTGAGGCAATGCGTCTGCAATTCGCAGAGACAAGGCAGGAATTGTAATTGTAGTTCATCATGTGATGACTTATGAAAGAGGAAGTTGGTATGTTTTAGTCACGTAGACTCTGCCCTCTTGCTTAAGGCTCCAGGTCCTCTCCAAAGAGAATTACGATCATCTTCGCCACTCAGAGTCAAGGTTACCAGGTTGTCTGCAGCCAGCTCTTACACACTGATACGTGGACAGGCAGGCAGATCCTGCGCCAAGTGTCAGTGAAGCAGTGGGTTGAGGTTGGCTTTGAACCAGAGCACTGAAATGTTGCAATTTGTCTTAAGAACTGAAGGAACTATTCTGTGGGGGGGAGGACTCCTGCTGAGACTAGAGAAAGCAGTCGTCCTTTCTAGCTCCAATTTTGTAGTTTTTTTTTTTTTTTTTTAAATAAAGATCCTAGTTTAGGAGTAAAAGGAAAGCATTTCAGTAGGACACCATGAAAAAAGCAGGAGTATGGAGAGTAAGTGCCCAGAAGGCAAACCAAAGGGAGCGATAGCTCAGGGGGTAGAACAGATCTCACCTCCCTGCAGTGAGATTTACACAGGCTTCTACCAGGTGAGCATTTAACATCTAAAAATGGGAATAGGGTCCCCAGGGCTTACTCTGGTCCAGCTGCTCTGGTTAGCACACTGCAGCCCTGTACTGACAGTCCATAGGGCAGTAAAAAGAAAGGGTTGCCACCAGAGAGCCCTGATGGAACTCTGCCCCTAAGACACAGGAGCAGAAGGGGGTGCAGTCCCAAGCCCCCAGCAGCTTGTGGCTGCTGCCCAGGAGGTGGTGTTCCCAGGGACCGCTGGGTTCACGGGTTTCACCCTCTATCCAGATGTTGAATCATAGCCTTCATTCTTGAGAGTGCAGCTTCTTTAAATAACTTGATGTTGCAACCATAGGAAAGCTTCTTAAACTATGACCCTAGCATATTTGAAAGAAGAAAAAAAATGCAGCCACATGTCATTCGGATTTCTGTGAACATCACATCAGGCTCTTGTGCCCGGGTACAAGTGCCATAAGACTAGGAGAGCACATGTACTATTCAGGGCTTTCCCACTTAAAAAAATTATAAATACTTGTGTGTATGTTTGAACACATTTGTTTAGGTGATTAAATCTAGGTATACATGGAGGAGCCCGACATAAATGAACCTGCTATAATTGATATGAGTGCTTTTCTCCGAAGTCAGCGCTTTATGAGAAAATGCCACTGTTTTTCAAATGGCAAGTATTCTTTTTTAGAAATAACTTTCCCTCTGTTTGACCTCTTCTGTAGTCTGCCTCCCCTGAGCACAGAGAGTATTCGCATATTAAAGAGACTTTTGCATGTAGAGGAGATAACTCTCTGCGGAGAGTCCAAGAATCAGGCCAAATAAAATCACAGGGCCTCTTAATCATCCACATATTATACACTGAAGCTGTTAGTCACCAGCCTGTGTGTCAACATATGTACAGATCCCCGTTTAGAGCAAAATTCAGGGTCTTGATGTAGGTTAACTACTTACTGTGTCAGAATTTAAAGAGCTAAGTGAAAAGCAGACAAAACAGACAAAGGAGAGATTGAGGTCACACACTGGCTCAGTCTGCAAGGAAATTTGTAGGAGAACTGGAAGGGATTCAACAGCCATTTGATGCCAGAACCTTCCTATTGACTTTTTGAAAAGAGCAGGATGAAATGCACTTTTCTGGAATAATATCTGGATGTGGGTTTGACTTATTTTTAAGACACTGAGATCCTTTAGAAGAAATCAGTAGAAAGATGCTGACAAAATAGTGAATTAACTTCATGGAGGATTTTTTAAATAGTAAAATGATAAACTTTCAGTTTTCCTGTAATATTTCTTATATATGTTCTTACATACACATTCATTATGTTTCTTACATACACATTCAGTAGTAAGGAGACTTAAAAAAAGTCAAGGATATAACAATTCTAAAAGGTTCAAGAATCATATGATAGTGTATTTATTATGTCTTCCATATGGACATTTTAAAAAAAGGTATTTCAAGCATAAATTCTATAACTTGGCATCCTTTTCAGAAACTAAAAACTTGAAGCATTAAAGATTAAGTGACTTCCCTAAAGCGACATTAAAGGTGAATGGGGGCTGGCACTGTGGCACAGTGGGTTAAAGCCACAGCCTGTGGTGCTGGCATCCCATATGCACGCTAGTTTGATTCCTAGTTGCTCCACTTCCCATCCAGCTCCCTGCTAATGCACCTGGGAAAGCAACGGGGGATGGCCCAAGTCCTTGGGCTCCTGCATGCATGTGGGAGACCCAGAAGCAGCTT